GTTTCCCCACAGGCCGGTGCTCCTGACCTTTAAGACGGATCTTGATAAGCTCACGGTGCACCGTCTGAGGAAGTACGCCAAGCTCCCAGTGGACTTACCCGTTGGGCCTGCTCCAGAGCCCCCAGATTACCAGGACCTGGTGGATAACCTAGAAGGTCTCCTGCAGCCTCTTCAGGTTCCTGAAGGCTATCGGCTTCCGCGCCCAGACGAAGTCGGAGGGCTCCAAGGAGGTCTAGATGCTAACTACCAATCTTGGTGTGAAAGGTCTAGGGGAGAGCTTCAGGGGTCTCTGCAATGTTGCCCTCATGGAGCCCGTGGAGGTAGCCCGCGCAGCACTCAGGAGATTCCTTTAGGCGAGCTGCTTTGCACCAAGAGGTCCCCCACCAGGAGCCCATATCGTGCGATGCATTGGTTGTCTCAGAGGACCCACGAGTTGTACAGTCTGCTCAGGAGTGGCAGATATTTGGAACTATCAGATTATTTCAAAAGCTTTGTTCGCTCGGCTTGGTCAGCGACGAGGACAGGAGGTATTTTCAAGTGTCATTTCCCTGGCGGTCTAGATCTGTGGACCAGTCTGCTCCGCGAAGCGGTCGAACCATTGCGGGCCCCAGGTGAAGTTGAGCATCTGGAGATCCGAGCTGGGTCACTCCTTGCCCTTCATCAGCTTGCCTCCTATCTGTCCCCCATCTACCTCCCCCGAGAAAAAAACATGAGAAAGCACAAAAATGGAGAGACTGGTGCTCGGATGCCTTGCCTGGCGGAGCGAAGTGGGCTCACGCCTGCGCCAAGGTGGCGGCCAACAAGCGTCAGGCCTTGCTCCCGACAGACGACGGCATGCACACGTCTTGTCTCACCAGCCAGCTTTCGGATGAGGTCCAGAAATGGAGGAAGGCTTGGGGAGAGGATCGGAAGGGGGAGAACGAGGAGATAGAGCGGCCCCAGGACATGATCATTCCGAAACCTCCAGATGCAGAAGAAATCACGGTTTTGAGCAAGAGTTTCAAACGTTCGACGATTGCAGCAGACGGCTTTCACCCTCGCCATTATCATCTTTTAAGCCGACCTGCCCGTGTTGTTTTCAGTCTGGTCATGGGCCTCATGGCCGTGCTCGGCTTCGCGCCGAGCTGGATTCACAAGCTTGTCGTGGCTCTCTTCCAGAAGCCCGTTTCAGGCAGGCGCCCGATCGGATTCTTTCAGAGCCTTATCAGAATGACATCCCGATGGCACTCGAGGCACTGCAAAGAGTGGGAGAATAATGTTTCCGATCAAGGTGTATTTTCCATGGCCCCAGGTCGCAGTGCAGTTGGCGCAGTTTGGATGCAACAAATACGTGGAGATCTAGCTGTAGCAAATCGTCAAGAGGCTTTAACTGTACTAGGATATCTTAAGCAATGTTATGAACATGTACAGCATCCGCAACTAGTTCGAGCTTGCACGGACTGGCAACACCCCCTTTTCACGGAACGCTTCGCCATACACACTTATCGGTGGGCTAGGGTATTCAGTATGGAGGGGATGGTATCGGAGGAGTTGGAGCCTGGGCAGGGGATCGTAGCTGGGAGTAGTACAGCGGCGTTTGAAATAACATGTCACTGCTCAGGTTCGCACCTACCTTAGCTGTTCACATAGACGACTTCCCGCTGAACATGTATGATAGTTGTATTCACATTTGTGTTAGAAATATGGCCCTGGCTATGGCTTTCTTGGTAGAGCAGCTGTCCTCTCTCTTCAACCTGCGCTTTGCCTTTAACAAGTTTGCGATCACTGGCGCCAGCACTGAGCTTGTGGAGCTCGCGCAGAGTCAGCTGGGACAGTACGCAGGTGAGTTTAACAACTCCATCATCAACTTGGGAGTGGACTTTGCGCCTGGGAAGTCCAAGACCAGACCCCAGGCCAAGGCTAAACGAAAGGAGAGGTGGAGGAAAGGGAGGCCCCGTCTTACCAAGATACGCAGCCTGAAAATCCGAAACGATCCAGGGCCAAGGTTTGGTTTTGTGGAGTCAAGCCTGCGACTACGCACGGCGAAGAGGTTGTGGGGTGGACGCCCCGAGAGATCAGGGAGCCCAGGTCTCAAGCTGCTGGCTTTTTAGGTCTCGCCACCTGCGGGGCGGACCTCAACCTCGCTTTTGTTCTGGGGCCCGGCAAGGACCCGATCAAACATGCTGGCGCGAACCTAACCCGTTTTGCGAAGGAGTTCTGGTAAACCACGGACGAGAAACTTCGGCCAGGGGGTTGCGCTGCTGATGGGGATCTGGTCAAGCTGGTCCATGAGGTTCACTTTTTTTTCAGGGACGTCGTCCGAATGCTTCCTGGGAATGTTTGGCGTGGGGCCCTGTCGGGAACATGCTGCAATTCATATCCAGAGCTGGATGGTCTATCCGTGGCCCTGGGATTTCCTGGGATTTTTACCATGCGGGATGGGCCCCCCTGTGTACTTTCTGATATGCCTTATGTTTCTGTTTCAAAATACTTCGTCAGGGACCTAGGTAAGGAGTTCGTGCAGCAGAGTATGCAGCGTAGGCTGAAAGACTGTGAAGACGAGCGTGCTTTTGAGATTTCGGAGCGAGGCCTCTGGGTGGAACCCCCTCGGTCCTCTTGGAACTCTAAGCGCCAGAGCAAGTTCAAACAACGCGTCATGAAGCAAGTGTTCACTCGGTCTTATGTGACGGCCAGTCGCCTGCACAAATGGGGCTACCAGCTTGAGCCGCTTGGCCCGCTGTGCCGCGACGGAGTGCACGGCGCCATCGACGGAGTATGGCACAGGTGCTTTGAATGCCCAGCTCTGGCAGATCGCCGAGCAGAGCATCTCCCAGCAGAATTGGCAGCAGCAGGACTGGAGGCAGGACCAGAGGATCCGTTTTTCAGTTCTTTGTGGCTCCCCGTGCCGAACGACCTGCAGGAACCGACCTGGGAAGGTAAGATATGTTTCGTGGACCCTGACGGGCCCGTCGAACCCTTCCGATTCAACAAGAACGAGTATATATACAGTGATGGGTCCTGTTATGGAGGTACCTACGATATGGTTTCCAGAGCTGGATGGGGTTTTGTTTCTGTCAACGAGGAGGGGGGAGTTATCAGAGGCATCTATGGTAACGTTCCTGGCTTCCTTCCCGAGGGTTCTGTTTTCGGTGAAGTCTATGCGCTCCTGTCTGGCCTCGCGCACCTCGAGCCAGATCAGGATGACGACGCCGACGGGGCCGAGTATTTGATTCATATTGATTGCGAAGCGTCGCTAGGAGGATATCGTGATCCTTGGAAAGCTATTTCAGGTGCCAGTCCGCTGTCAGAATTATGGCCTGCCCTCGACCGTTCAGCAGTTCCCCAGTGGAGTCTGAAGAAAGTCAAGGCCCATGTGAAAGGAGAGCTCACGGGAGTTGCCCTGCGACACCAGCGTGGCAATGACAAAGCCGATGAGCTAGCTAAAGATGGAGCTAAACGTCATCATCATGAGGTCCTTAATGGTATTAACAAATACGAGGTGTGTCTAGCAGGCCGGGAGGAAGTAGCTGTAGGTATGGCCAATATTCTCCTAGAGATCCCGAAACCTAAAGTTCTCTTCGGGGATTTCGCCCGCAATCCGTCCATCCCGAGGCCGAAGGTTGTCTCCAGCGGTCGCCCTCACCGTGTGCTCTGGATTGGTTTAGCGTGGAGGTGCGTCCAATGTGCTCGCACCTTCAGCAATCAGCGACCCAAGAGCCCGTGTGCCGCTTTGACCCCCAGCCTAAGGCAGGTGGTGGAGTTGGAAGTCTCTCCCCCGCACAAGTTGCACGTGTGTCGCATTGTAGAGACTAATATACCATTAGTGTTTTGTTCGCGCTGCGGGGCCTATACTTTGGGCCTTCCCCGTCAGATCGGTGAGCCCTGCAATAAGATCGTCAAGCAACAGAGGTCTCAGATTATGAATGGCAAGTGCCCATGGCCTAAGAGCCTGCACTTGACGCGTCCGTGGCCCTTGGCTCGCCCAGAAGAGGACCCTGGCGGCGAGCGGTGGGGCAAGATGCGCTACCTCTAATTAATTGTTTCTGTTCCTCTTCACTTCTCTTTTTTCCCACAGCCCTTATCGATCATGGATTGGAAGGAGCAGCGAGAGAGCCACTGGAAAGGAGGAGGAGGAGGAGCAGACGTGGGAGGAGGAGGAGGAGGAGGAGGAGGAGGAGGAGGAGGAGGAGGAGGAGGAGGAGGAGGAGGAGGAGGAGAAAGGGGGCTGCCAGTGTGCAGCCCGAAGGCCCACCGCGTCACATCCTTGCGCGATTTTCCCAATTCTCCTGGAGGGGGCTGCGCGCCCGCGCGCAGAGTCCTCTGCCCGTCCTCCTCCCGGTGGCCCCCCCGCGCGGGTGTGTGCGGGTTCGGGCGCTGCGTCATCCCCCGTCCTGCATATGGTAGCGGTGGTGGAACATTTGCCCATCAACAGGCGAGAGGTCAGGACATGGCCCCGTGTGGGAGATGCTCGCGAGCCTGCAGGGCAGTTCGGGGTGACGAGCCCGCCAAAACCAGGACAGGGGTTGGCACGAACGACATGGGTGCTCCGAGTTTCTTAATAAGCGTCGTGGGGGCGTCACCCCCGCCAACAGCCCCAAATCGATACCCATCGCGGGCAGCCACCGCGCGCCGAAGGCGCTCCGACCCCCGTCGCAGCGCGACGACCGGGCGGGGCTGACTCCCGTCGGGGGGGTCCCCCCCGACGCTTATCAACAAAGCCACAGTACGGAAAGAGTTGGTGCGATGCCCGACAGGAGCTCCTGTTCATTTCGACCAGGACTCGCTATCCGCATGTTAGACAGAAGGCCGCCTGCACAGCAGCGGCCGCTGTCGATTTTGGACCATATTTGTGGTTGGGCATCGCAAGTTGGGCAGGGTGTGAACGAGGACTGAAGGAACGGGGCCGAGAAGGGGCCCGAAGGTGCGTGACATGTGGGTGTAACTCCCTTCGCCCCCTCGTTGAATTATTGCCCTCCCCCTGAGCGCCTGATTGGTGCCCACGCCGCCGCTGTCCTTGGCCACCAGGCGGCGCCCCGGCCGCACAGAAGGGGAGAGCCCCCCCTCCGCCGCCACATGGCGAGCTCCGGCGCACCCGCGGCGCTGGTGCCGGGCCTGCCCCCGCTGGGCGTGGCACCTCGCGCCAGAGGCCAGCTGGCGGGGGGCAGCCGGGTCTCACGTAGGGGGGGTCGGCTATCGAAGAGGAACAAAAACACATAAACATAAATTTTTGGCGCTCCGAGCGGGTTTCTTGGATCCGCGCCTGGGCCCCCCAGCGGCGCATCCGGCGCCGCCCCTGGCGTGCTCCGCGCGCCAGTTTATGCTTATGGCGTTTTTTCATGGTCTAAGTCGAGTCCCACGTAATGGGGGTCAGCTAACCCCCTCTGGCTGACCCGGGTTTGTGGGCCGATTCCCCTTCTCCACCCTTCGCCGGAGCTACCAAGCGGCCAGGCGTGGCATCGCGGCAGGGCCTTGGCCAGCCCGGGCTTGGGCTGGTTTGGGTCAGTCCGTCCCCGAACAGGCTCAGCTGCTCGAGGGTCGAGGTTCGCTTTCTGGAGTTGTTTGATCGTTCTGGGGTTAAATCGGGCCTGTCCCTCTTCAGGAGGAATTTTCAAAATAGTCAAAAAGTAGTATGGGGACGATTTGTTGATTTTGTTTTTGTACATCTGAAGTTGTTTCTAATATTTTTAATTGTTCGTCCAAACTCCCCCTGTAGGAGGACATGCCCGACCTAATCCTGGGGCGCCCTCGTGGCCAGGCTCGGATCCGCCCCGAAATTGTGGTCAGAAGGTCAGAGCGCACCCCACAGGAGTTCCAGCGAGTTTGACCTTTGACCCGTGACCCGGAGCAGCGTGAGAGGGGGCTGGGCTCGGGCGGGGACGCATCAGGTCTTGACAATCGCCCAGTCATCGCCGGCAGGGGGGCCGATGCAGCCCACCCCGTCCAGGAGCGTGCGGGCTCGCCATCGGGGGCCCCTGGCCGGCACATCCGCGTTGTATCGCCGATCCCAGGTCGGCGCTCCTCCCCCTGGGCCAAAGGAAGCGGCGTGAGCTCCCTCTGGCCGCTCACCCGCCGGTTCTCCGCGGTTGGGTACTTCCCGCTTCCTCCTCCGCCGCCGCCCTCTTCATTTCCTCCTTCTCCCGCGCCCCGCGCCCCAGTCCCGCCGCTACCGACCCCCGCTTAAGGTCGCACGTACGCTCCCTCGTCTTCAATGTGGCGTGTCGCTCTGGTGGCCCGCGTAAGCCACTGCGCAAGGTAGCTCTGTCATCTCGCTGAAGACCCGCTTCTGATCGTCGCTCAATTCCCCCCCAATCTTCCCCCGGACATGTGATGTCTTGATTCTTGTCCAGAGAGGGGTCACTAGAAGTCCCGACCCTCTCCCCAGGACCGGTTCTTGATGCTGGGTCTTGTTGTTGACGGCCCTTGGGCCCAGCGAGGGCCTCCGAAGACCGAACACGGCCAACACATTGAATCCTGTTTTTTCCAGGACGCGAGCGTGTCTGGGCCCCACTCGATCTCACAGGATCCAGGATCTAGGCCTCCTAGATGGGGTCGGAGTAGATGGGGTCGGAGGATCGCGCCGCATCGCCGATACATCGACGATGCGGATCGATGCGGAGTCCGATTTTCTCCACGCCGACGTCGCCGATGCATCGCCGATGCATCGCCGATGCATTGGCGATGCATTGGCGATGCATTGGCGATGCGGTGCGATCCTCCGACCCCATCTGCTCGGACCCCATCTTGGAGGCCTCTACAGGAGCAGGGGGCTCCAGGGGGGAGGAGCAGCCTGCCGACACCGCCGCCCGTCGCGGAGGGCCCGCGCTGCCGCAGCGCCTGAGGGCCTACCGAGAGAGAGTCTTCGGCCGGGGCATGCCCCAGGCTGCCGAGGCCCGGGGCGTAAGGCGGCACATCGTCGAGCAGTGGCGAATCGCCCTTGCTGATCTATAGGCTCACAAAAGAATGTTCTGAGAACCTTTTGAGGTCGGCACGAATTGGTCTTAGAACATGGGTGGCCGAGACTGTCTTGTTTTAATGCGTCGGGGTTCTGTTCTAAGAACATTGTTTTTGTTATTACAACTTGTTTGGGTTATCAGAGCATGTCATGGTAGGCCTATAGGAATATAGGAATGCCGGGGCGGTCTCTTCTCAACGTCGGTTTCAGTGTTCGGTCACACGCAGAGGGGGGTAACACAAATATGGAAGGATTATCCAAATCACCCTTGGCTCTCAGAAGGCGCGTGCCCTATCTAATTGTATATTGTACCGCCGGCGCCTTCTGAGAAGCAGTCTCCTGAGACGCCCCCGTGTGCGCGGTGCCAGCCCCCCCTGCAAAGGCCTTGGATGTGTGGCGGCACACAGATATTTTTTTCCCGGGGGGCGGCTAAGAGGGAGGTGGCGTCTGGGGGGGCACAAATCGGCGGGGGCCATGATATCTCCCTCGATTTCATGGCGCCTGTTCTCATTTCAACAAGTTCCCGGCCCTCCCTGGGCCGCGCATATGCCTCGGGCCCCCCCGATTTTTTCCTGCGGTTCAGGGATGGGGCCCTGAGGAATGGATTTTCAACCGGTACGTTCGAAATGGGTGCGGAAAGGGTTCGAAGATCGACAGTTCCTTTTGTCGATTTTGAACCGGATTCGCTGTCGGGCTCGCCGTGGAGCCGATTGCCCAACAGCGGACGCTGTCGGTTTGGACAACATCTGTTCTCGGGCATCGTACCCATTTGTTCCGCGGACGCGCGCTGGCAGCCTGCGACGACCCCTCATCCTCCACCTCCTACCCCCCCTCCTCCCTCCTCCCCCCATCCTCCTCCTCCTCCCCCCCCTCCTCCTCCTCCTCCTCCTCCTCCTCCTCCTCCTCCTCTTCCTCCTCCTCCTCCTCCTCCTCCTCCTCCTCCTCCTCGGGCGTCCCATTTGAAGGACGAGAATTTCCACCAGGGAAGGCCCACTTTGTGATCCATTTACCCTTTTCGCCCCAGGCTCTCTGTGGTCCCCCAGGGGAGGAGATGGGGGCAAGGGGGGGGGGAGGGCAAGGCAGGGGGGCTGGGCCCCTCCTTCACCTTCTGATCTTCCTCGTTCTCCTCCTCCACCGCTCCCTCCTCCTCCTCCACCGCGCCCTCATCCTCCTCCGCCTCCTCCACCTCCTGCCCCCTCCTCGGCCCCCTCCTGCTCCTCCTCGTCCCCTCTTCGTTCGTTTGCACTGCCTCAGGGGAGCGTCTGGAGCCAAGGATGCATCAAGAGAAAGTCAGCCAGCACGATTGGGCGACACATGCGTGTGAAAAGGTGCCACCTGTAGCCACGACGGCTCGGCATGGCCTGTCAGAGAGGCACCTGCTCGCTCAGACTCACGAGTTGCACGGGCCCCTGTTCGGCCATCTGTGGGGCCGGGAGAAGAGGACAGGAAAGGAGGGATTTGTGGTTGATGCCAGCCTCGTAAGCTTCCCTGACCAGCGGCCCACTCAGCCGCTCGACGCCAGTGTCAACATGGTGTCGCCTGCGTCCTTGCCTGGCCATTTTCCGCGCTCTGTCGGCATCCTGCCGGTCAAGCCCAGCTGCCACATGCGGGGGCATCCTCTGGGAAGTTCCCAAAAGAACATGACGGCAACGCCTGGATTTCTCTTCGACATGCTTGACCACACGCATTCTGGAATGAAAACATTTCGGCATTCACATTGCCGGACCAACCAGAACGAGTTGGCCCATTCCGGGTTACCTGTCCGACCCCATGCACATTGATAGCAAGTTGGGCCAATTCCGCCCCTCCCCTCCAGCCTCCTCGTCTCCCTCGCCCCACAACAATGGCGAGGTGGGCGAGGAGGAGGAGGAGGAGGAGGAGGAGGAGGAGGAGGAGGAGGAGGAGGAGGAGGAGGAGGAGGAGGAGGAGGAGGAGGAGGAGGAGGAGGAGGAGGAGGGGGAGGAGACGCGATGCGGGGAGGGGGGGGGGGGCGGTGCTCGTCCGGGCCCCGCCGCCTCGCGCGGGGCGGTGGCACCGCGCCCTGCCAGGGCTGCCGCGCCGTCCTGTCGCGCGATCCGCATGCAGTCGCCGCTCGCGTGAAGTCGGGCGTGTCCCTCGACAGGAGGAGTACTCAAAAGTAGCCAGAGTATAGCCTCGGCAGTGTTACGTTCACCGAAGAGGAAACACACACACATGAACGTAAACTTTCGGCGCTCCGCGCGGATTTCTCGGATCCGCGCTGGGCCTCCGCGGCGGCACCTTCGGCGTCGCCCCTGGCGCGCTCCGCGCGCCAGGGAAGGGGGTCCAGCGCGGATCCAAGGAATCCGCACGGAGGGCCAAACGTTTATGTTTGTGTGTTTTTTTCTGCGTCTAGTTAAGTCGGGCGTGTCCCTCTACAAGAGGAGTATTCAGAGATAGTCAAAATATAGTCTAGGTATGTTTGAGCACTATTCTACCATGTTCCACTGTTCGTCCAAGATCCGCCTGCAGGGGGACATGCCCGACCTAACGCTTGCGCATCCCGCAACCCAGGCACCCGCGCGTCGCGAGGTAGGCACGGCGGGAGGTTCTCGGTTTCTGCTCCGCCCTGGGACGGGCAAGAAGCGACTCGGGATGACAAGTTGGTCCCTGGGGATGGGTCGAGAGATCCGGAGTCGACGGTGCGAACAAAATCGCGACGTCGGGGGTAGGTTCGAGTCGTGCCGACGCGGTGGCAACCCTGGCACGCGCGTTCAAGGCTGAACGCCTCGGGCGGCCTCTGGTCGGCCGAATCGAGAGGCCGCCGATCCTTCGGGGTTGGTTCACCCGCGCGGTGTCGGACCCGGTTCACGCGGGTGTTGCCAGAAGTGCCCCTTGCCCAAGGTGCCCCCAGGGTTTCCAAGGAGGCCCCCCACGGCCTCCAGAGCACCCCATCCCAGGGCACAGGGGGGCCCCAGGGGTTCCAAGATGGAGGGACAAGTTGGGGGCACCTTGGGCCAGAGGCACCTTGAGCACCCCCCGACGCACCTCCGCGGTGGAGGGGGAGAAACTTGCGCGCGTGGTCGCGCGAGCGGGGGGGAGCAGCATTGGGCGTGGAAGAGGATGAGTGGCCAAAACGTCAGAGGAGGAAAAGGTACGGATACCGCTACCCCTGCCTCGTTTTCTTTTTTGTGGGCCTCTTGAAAGGCCCTCGTCGCCACAGTTGGATTCGCCTTGAAATTCTGTTCAGAACGCAGCCAGGAAAGGTCAGAGAAGTAGCGGTATTGGTACTTTGGGTTTTCGAAGAAGAAAAGGGTCTCGGATGACCATTGGGATAAGGCCAACGAGCAGGATGCGGCAGCACAGCAGACTGTGTGTCGATCATTGGCGGTTGACTCTTATGTCCACCAGGCCAGGAGGAGGATGGAGGGAGGGAGAGAGGGAGGAGGGAGGGAGGGAGGAGGAGGAGGAGGAGGAGGAGGAGGAGGAGGAAGAGGAGGAGGAGAGGAGGAGGAGGAGGAGGAGGAGGAGGAGGACAGGACGGGGGGGGGGGGAGGAGGAGGAGGAGGAGGAGGAGAGGAGGAGGAGGAGGAGGAGGAGGAGGAGGAGGAGGAGGAGGAGGAGGAGGAGAGGTGGAGGTGGAGGTGGAGGGGGAGGACGATGTGGAGGAGAAGGGGAAGACGGAGTAGGGTGAGGGGGAGTGTTAATAGGACAAGGGGGAGGAGGAGGAGGAGGAGGAGGAGGAGGAGGAGGAGGAGGAGGAGGAGGAGGGTCATGAGGCGGATCAAAATGAAGGAGAAGGATGAGGAGACGACGGAGGGGAATGAGGCGGAGAGGCGTGACGAGGAATTGGTGGAGCACGCGCGAGACGGCCCCCCCCTGGCCCTTCCAGCCGCGCGCGCTGCCCGCGAGGCGGGCGCGCGCACTCGGCCCGCTCGAGGATGGACCGCTCCGTGAGGGACACCCCGCTGAAGGAGAAGGCGGGGTGCTCTGCTCCGTTGCTTCCCCCTCGAAGAGTTAGGTTTAATGCGGGATGACGATTAATACAAACATAGGAGAGAACAATTAAAAAAAAACAGTTTTCTGTTATTTCTGCATAATTTTCTGACTGGAGGAGAACGTTTTAAACATAGTTGTCCAGCCCGCGGCCGGTTTTTTCTTATCGTCATCCCGGGCGCCGCCGCGTGAACACGACCCCTGGTCATTTATCAATCGTCATCCTGCATTATGATGTTCCAACCTACTTAAGCCTTGATCACCAGAAAGAATGTCGAGCGCCAGGAGAATACCTCAATCGGAGGGTTTGCACGCATCGGGCCCGGGGAGGCGACACTCGCTCGACACCGTCTCGATGCTTCTCCTGGGTGCTGGAGCTCGTTTCGGGGATGTGGCCCCTGCGCGCGATGGGAGCAGCACAAAGTCAGATCGGGGAGCCACCAATGCCGCTTGCAGTACCAGGAGTCGAAGCTGGACTCCGTTCTCTTCCTCCTCTTTGACGCCACCCTTCTTCCCGCCGCCACCCTTCTCCCTGCCCCCCCGCGCAATCTTCCTTGCTCCCACCCCCTCCTGCCCTCCCCTTGCCCTTCCCCTCCCCGCCATCCCGTCCCCTTGCCCGTCTTCCCTCCTCCCCCTTCCCCTCCCACTTGCGCCGGTGCCGCGCTCGCACGGGCCAGGGCGGGGGCGGGCGGCGTGAGGATCCAGTGGCCTCGTGGAAGTGGTGTGCCCGAGTGCTGGCTGGAGTGTGCTCCTGTTGCCGCAGTCTTCCTCCAGTCGTCGGCGAGCGAGGGGGGGGAAGTGAGAAGGGGCGGGCCTGCTCGGAAGGCTCGGATCTCAGGAGGCTCGGGAGTCCCCGGGGCTCTCCGAGAAGTGTTCTGAGCCTTCCCCGAAGACAGAACAACTTTCTCAGAAGGCGCGATGGCTTCTGAGAAGTCCCGCCACCTTTGAGAAGGCATTATCCTTCTCACTTCCCCTCCTCGCTCGCCGCCAATCCAGAGAGAGATGATCGCACCTCGACCCAGCCAACAGCCCCCAGCCCAGCCCCCGCGCTGAGGCTTTCAGCCGATCGTCACAGATACAGCTGCGATACCCTAGGTAAGATGAGGCGCTTAGACGAGATGAGCTTGCCTTGTTTTGGCATGGCGCTTGCGATGCGCTCCCGCTGTATTTGTGCTAGCGATGTCGCCCTCAATTCCGCGGTGTCTGGCGACGTGGTTCCGAGGCGGAGGTGGAGGCGGAGACGGAGGCGAAAGTGGCGGCGGAGGAGGAGGAGGAGGAAGAGGAGGAGGAAGAGGAGGAGGAAGAGGAGGAGGAGGAAAGGAGAGGGAGAATGATGAGGAGAGGAGGATGAGGAGGAGGACGAGGAGGAGGAGGAGGAGCAGGAGGAGGAGGCGAAGGAAAAGAAGGAAGAGGAGGAGGAGGAGGAGGGCGAGGAGGAGGAGGAGGGGGAGGAGGAGGAGGCCCTCGCCTCGCGCCAGATCTCGGGCTGCAACCCCTTGTACGCCGGCGGTACGCACCGGTCCCCGCAGTGCAGCAGCGCCAGCCGCACACCAGGCCTGGCGTCATCGCTCGGTCGATCCACACTTGTCCATTCACGTCCTCTTCCTTCGGTATCGTTTAACCGATCCCCATCCCCATCCCCATCCCCTTCGAGACCCCACCAAACTACCACCCCAGTTGGGGATACACCCTTCGAAACCCGAAGGGAACGACCTCTACCCCCATCTAGGGGGGTACATCGGCCAGTGGGGCCCAGGCCACGCCGCTGGGGATGGGGATAGGTTAAACGATACGCATTATTACACCCCACCTCACCTGCTTATCTTACTCGTCCTCCTTGCTCGCTGTCTCCCTCATCGTCTTCTTATTATGCTTCTCCGTCCCTCCCTCCTCCCTTCATCCCTCCTCTCTCATACCTGCCTCCCTTCATTTCTGCCCTAGTCCTCCTCGGCCCTCCTCTCCGGGTCCTCACTGCTCATCCTATGTCCCTTCCTGCGTACTCAAACGGGCTTGCGCTATTCCGCCGAGCCCGAGAGTACAATGGTGGTTGTGATGATGAAGACGAAGACGAAGTATTGGACGATGAAGAAGTCAATTGGGGAGGCCTTGTAGGGCCTCAGGATTCCGATGTGTCCATTCTCTTGTATGCTTAACCTTAACCGCAAAACAACACTTCGGGTACCAGGGGAGGTTGGAGTGGGTGGGTGGGTGGTTGCTGCTTTCTGGTTGCGACTGGCGTCGGATCGGGTTCGCGATCTTTCTGCCCAGGGATTCCGATACTTGTACCCAGTTCCCCGCAATTGCAGACAAGAGTGAGGGGGCGGGCGCGGGGTGGGTCGCGGGTGGGTCGCTGGCAGGTCGCGGGTTGGTCGCGGGGTGGGTCGCGGGTCATGTGTGGGTAGCGGGTTGTTCGCGGGTGGTGGTGATGATGATGGTGTTGGTGGTGATGAAGATGGTGTTGATGATGTTTATGGTGTTGATGATGACGGTGATGATGTTGATGATGATGTTGATGTTGCTGATGTTGATGAGGGTGATGTTGATGTTGATGCTGATGTTGATGAAGATGATGATGGTGATGTTGATGATGATGATGCTGATGCTGATGATGGTGATGGCGAAGATGAAGATGATGATGATGATGCTGATGATGGTGATGATGATGATGCTAATGATCGTGATGGCGATGATGTTGATGATGATGATGATGATGCTGATGATGATGATGATGGTGATGGTGATGATGATGATGATGATGATGGTGATGATGATGATGATGATGGTGATGGTGATGATGCTGATGCTGATGCTGATGCTGCTGCTGCTGCTGCTGATGATGATGATGATGATGATGATGATGATGATGATGATGATGATGATGGTAGTGATGATGTTTATGGTGACGAAATATTGTTGTGCCGTCTTCGGCTGTGTTGGGGGTCCCTTGGGGCCCTCTTGGGCCGTCTTGGGGCCCTCTTACGCTGGCTTGGGGCTCTCTAGGGCCGCCTTAGGACTTTCTTGGCCGTACGGTGCGTGTCTTGGGGCCGTCTTGGCGCCGTCGTGAGCCGTCGATGGGCGTTCTAAGTCCGTGTTGGGTCCCACGAGAGCCCCTCTTGGGCCGTCTCGAAGCCATATTTGATGCCTCTTGTGTCGTCTCGAGCTGACGGCAAGCCGACACGACGAGAAAGCGAACATCATTCAAGCACCAATGGTTATTATCTCCTGACCTTGTTGGAGGTCCTCTTGTGATCATTTTTGGCCCTCTAGGAGGTTTCTTGGGCCGTCTTGAATCAACATCCCGCCGCCTTGGGACCATCTTGGGCTGTCTTCGCGGCATATTGGGCCATCTTGGTGTCCTTGGTTGCCTGCACGGGCCGTCTTGCTCGGGACGCAGATCCATCGTCTATCCATCGTCTTTCACGAGGGATCGTGGCTTGGGAGGTCCTGGAGTGCTTGGGAGCAGCGCCTGGGAATGCGAGAAGTGCACGATCCTCGAGCAGGTGTGCGTGGGATGAGGGGTCCTAAGGAGTTCCAGCCATGCGGGACGCGCAATCCTGGAGCGGGCGCGCATGGAATTTGAGTCCAGGCATTGGCTGCCATGCGGGAAGTGCACCGCCCTCAAGCGGGCACGCGTGGAACGAGGGTTCAGACATAGTTGCCACGCAGGAAGTTCACCATCCTCGAGAGGGCACGCGTGGAGTGGGGGATTCGGCATCTAGCTGACATGCCGGAAGTGCACCATCCTCAAGCGGGCACGACGAGGGAAGTGGTTTTTGGAATGACGGGCAGTGCACGCATGAGCCTGCTGGTAGAGGGAGTGGCGGGGTCCGGTCTCTTATCAGAAGTCAAAGAAAGACACCAGACAGACCTTGGGATGCTTCAACTCCTCACCGTGCAGGTGGGCAGGTGGCGGATATGCAGACTGTGCAGCGGGACAGCCGCGGGCCGTTCACGGGCAGCCACGGGGCCATCTTACGGGAACTATTGGACAGCCACGGGGCAACCACGGGAGAATTGTGGACATCCACGGGATCATCATGGGAGGAGGAACTGACAACCGCGGGGCAGCCGCGGGACAACCGCGGGACAGCCACGGGACAACCACCGGGACAATCGTGGGACAGCCGCGGGACAATGCCAGGAACGCTGCGGGACGAGCGCGGGACAACCCCGGGGGAGCGCCACAGCTTCCCACGACTCTTGGCCAGCATGACGGGCAGGAGTTCGCACAGTTGCACCCCGCACGCACGGGGCTTTGCAAATGTGTTTTTTTGTTTCAAGAGTGAAGCGATTACCCAAGTGCGTCCCTACCTAGAAGTTGGAGCCCATAGGAAAGCAGCATTAGTTGCTATGATATGCTATGCCATGCTATGCTGCGCTATGATATGCTATGATATGCCAAGCTATGCTGCGCTATGTTATGATATGCTATGCTATGCTGCGCTATACTGCGCTGTGCTATGTCATGCTGCGATGTGCTATGCTAAGTTATGCTATGCTATGCTAAGCTGGTCTATGCTATGCTATGCTATGCTATGCTGCGCTGTGCTATGCTGTGCTGTGCTGTGCTGCACTATGCTGTGCTATGAGATGCTATACCGCGCTATGCTATGCTATGCTTGGCTATGATATGATATGCTGTGTTATGCTTTGCTCTGCTCTGCTATGCTAACGCTCAGCGGAGCTAAGATGAAGGTAAGCTAAGCTAAGATAAACCTGAGCTAAGATGAAGCTAAGCTAAGCTAAGATGAAATAAGCTAAGCTAAGATGAGATAAGCAACGCTAAGCTAAGGGGACGTAACTGGGGGAACCGCGGGGCGGATACTGGGGGAACCGCCCGGGGCGCTTTCCACTGCCCAGCCCCTTTAAGCCTAGAGAGTAAGAACCCTTCTAGGCAGAGCCTAGGTAGGGAATTTGGCGGCAACGAGTGGCAGCCCATGGCTCCACACAGGCAATTTAGCGACATTTTACCAGGGGGCAATTCACCTGCACTTGAGCTGCATTTAGGCGGCGCCCAGCGGCACTTTCGCGGCATGTAGCGGCAATTTAGCGGTTACTGGTGGCAGCTTGCCGTGGGGCGGAGTCGGAGTGGGGTTGTCGCCCCCCCCGCGCAGCTTGCCGCTAGCTGCTAGTGGCCGCTGGTAGTTTCTGCGATTCGTTGCTGTATTTGGGCCCCCATGGGCCCTCCGGTCATCCCCGCATCGGCCACGCCTCCGTTCTTTTTCGGCATCACCCCCCAGACCTCCAATCATTATTTCACGCCCGTGGCGCCATTGAACGGACCCCGCCACGCAGGCAGCGCGAAGGCGAGGAGCAGCCTGATGTCGCTTGTCTTCTGGGAGGTCTTTGGCACTGAGCGTCCTCCATCGCTCGCGGTCTCGTAAGTTGTTTGGGGAGCGGGAGCAACTGACTCTTCCACCCGCCCTCGAGTCAGGTTGGAGCCCTCATCAGCTGTTCTCCTGGGCCGTATTGATAGCATATTTGGCGCCCTGGAGCGCTCCTAGGCCGACTCGGGGACCTTTTGGACCGTCCTGAGGCATTCTTTGGATCATGTTGGCCTGTTTTGTCGCTCCCTGACCCCTGACAAAGATCGTGCGGAATTCATTGGGAGTCCTGCGAGAAACCTCAGGAGTCTTAGGGACCTGAGGACGCTCCATTCAGTGCCTGGCAAGCTGGCACGTGAACTTGTGCAACAGTTCCACGGATTGAGGGTGCTTCCTTTTCGAATTTGGTTTGCGCTTGAAATTTGAACTCGGGATTTACTGGCCCGGAGGCGACTCGCACGTTCAATGGTGCACTATCTACACGGGTGGAGGGCAATTCATTTTCGACGCGGAGTTGTCATTTGGCATGTCTTCAAATGGTTTGTATGGTCTCACCTTGTCGTTATCAGTTTGGCTCGTAGGATACCAGGCATTCCCTTCGAAACGAAGCTCCCCGCCTGAATAGCGCCTACGGTGTTCGTCTCGCATGTGTGTGTGTGTGTGTGCGTGTGCGTGTGTGCGTGTGCGTGTGCGTGTGCGTGTGCGTGTGCGTGTGCGCGTGCGCGTGCGTGTGCGTGTGCGTGTGCGTGTGCGTGTTCGTGTGCGTGTGCGTGCGCGTGTGCGCGTGCGTGTGCGTGTGCGTGTGCGTGTGCGTGTGCGTGCGCGTGCGTGCGTGCGTGTGTGTTTGTGTGTGTTTCCCGCAGTGAGAACAAATGCTGCTTGTGTGGCTAATCATGTGGGGTCTTGGGACGTGAGGGTGTACTGCAACATCGTTGCAGCATCGTTGCTCCGCCTCCTCCACCTCTACCCCCTTTCTGATATTTGTTCTCATCTTTTTAGTTCGCTTAGTTGCACAGTTGTTTTTGTTGGGGCGGTGCCTTCTGGTTGCTAGGGGGCCTTCGATTCGTCGCCACGGCGAAATTTTGCTAGAAGAATTCGTAGGCCAGCGACTGGGGCGGGGGTAGGATGGGGCGTTGCGTTTCCAGCACCCTATGAATAGTTACGCGCGAAGACGGTAATGGGAGGGTGGAGGAGGGAGGCGATTCAGCAGGAGTGAGCGGGGAGCCGATGGAGGGGCACGCATTGCAAAACGGCCAGACATGGGAGATTTGCGCACAGCGTGTCCACCGTGCTGGGGCCCATTCTGTGCGCGGCCTTGCCAGCTGCCTCACCTGTGGCCTGACGGCCTCATTACGCCCTTGCCCCTCGCGCTGACCGCGGACTCTGGTCGCACACGTTCTGGGAAGAACGTCCGCCGATCAGAGGCATTTCCAGAGGTTGGTCATTGGTCGATCATGGTTGCCGCGATCTCTGTGTCTTGGGAATCAGTTAGGGTGGCTTAATGCTGGGCTGCACTACGTAGCTTCCCTCCCCACCACCCTGCGTTGCGAAGACCACACTTGCAGACATGGTGATTTCACACCATGCCCCAGGGAAGAGACGCCCATCCACAGTCTGGCGCAGCTATAGGGTGGTTGCCATCATGAGGCCCTGCAGAGTTATGCTCCGCCTCCCGCAAATACGCATCCAGTATTTGACTTCTTTGCAGACTGAGTTGGCCATGCATTTCCGTCTATATGTTGCCACCGCAGTTTTATTTCCGTTCATGGTTTGAGGATTGGTTTCTGTCCAGATGTACGCCTTCTCTATGCCGCCGTTGGCTCAGCAAAGTGTGATGGTACCATGATTTGGAACATTTCAGCGTGGCGGAGTCGCGGCAGCAATATGATAACACATTGCGCTTGGGGTTGCAGTGGTCAGTTCTCGATCTGGCAGCTGCCATTTTTGTAAGCCATCTCAACGTGCATAGCACGGTAATTTGCGTCGGATGTTTGCGTTGTCTTGCCAGTGCAGCACTATTATGTTCGGTTGGGTAGTTCGCCACGTTGCCCGCCGCTTGCTGCTTGCAAAGGCCAGCGATGGCAATCCTTTTTGTGAAGCATCCGGCTTAGGTGCCGTAGGATGGTCGATCATGGCGTTGTGTGCATTACCTCTTTTGGGGGCCTCACTTGTATTTGCTTGCTTCTTCTGTGTGGAGTATGTGCACAATGCCCATTGGATCTTATCTCGTTGAGGGAATCGGTCGCTGCATTGCGCGTCGGGGCAGCGTTGCTGCGCTTGCATCAACCACACTGGAGTGGGACAGTTACGATAATGCGTCGGATCGGATGCTGGGGAGAACGTCCGACGCGCTCCTTCTTGACGGCGGTTGCGATAATCGATGACGTTCTTCCTAGAGCCCCCTGTCCACCCGACAGGCCCTGGCGCTTACCGCACATCGTCGCTGTTCCAGTCCGACCGGGACCAGGTGTCCCTCCAGCGCGTGAGGAGGTGGCTCTAGTTTCAGAAGGGAAACCGGTCAGCCGGCCAGCGACAAGGGCCAGCTTGCGCTCGCGGTTGTGCGTGATACCGCGCGCTCGTTGGAGCCTTGCGTGCATACGCGCACGCACGTGCGCGGTGCGGCTGCATTGCAGTGCTGGCGTATATGTCATGCGCTTGCGTTCTCGTCGGTTCGGGCGCAAAGGCGGAGGGAGGTGGAGGAGCACGAGCAGGAGTAGGAGGCCGCCTGTTCCTGCGTGCACGCAGCATGGTGCAGTATCCACGCGCAGGTACGCACGTGCGCGTCATATGCAGTCGATGGCTGGGCCATTGGAGGAGCAGGAGGAAGCGGGCAAGAGAACAATTGAGGTCGGATGGGTCGGAGAAGAGATGACCATGGAGAGCACACGGGATCTTAACACAACTGTCCACGCCTGAACATTAGTAGTGCGCAATGGAAGCGGAGCCGTAATACGAACATCAAGTTCCTGGCAACGTTTCGCAAGTGATCCATTCTTTCCATTCCGTGGATCAAGTACTGGTGAAGTCGTCAAACTGAAGTCGTTGATCAGCCTGCGGAGACGCAGGAGCGAACCGTATTCGCTTTCGCGGACCTGCTGAATTAGGGAAGGCAGGGAAGAAGGACGAGGGGGATGAGGGAGAGGAGGTGGAGGCGGAGGAGGAGGAGGTAACATGAGGAGGAGGTCAGATGAGGAAGGAGGAGAGGAACAGGAGGAAGAGAACGCAGGAAGAAGGCGAGCCCAAGAACTATGAATTTCATGGAACGCCTCCTCACTCAACTCCTGGCGAACCGCGGGGGGGGGGAGGGGGAGGAGTAGACATGTCAACCTGCCTCCGGCGAGACCCGCCGCCGTGCCAGCGCAACTCCTGGGGTGGCGAGTGTTCGAACGATTATGGTGATGGCGATGGTGATTATCGGGCCGGGCGAAAGGGGGGGATTGGGAAAGGGGGGGGTACGAAATTTACTGCATGCAGCTGGTTTCGGCCTCACCGAGGGGCCCATTCCTCGATACATAGCTCCCTCCGGCGCCGGGAGGCGCCATGAAAATCAGCTACGTGAGCTGATTCTCAAACCCCCCCCTTGCTATCCCCCCCTTTCGCCCGACCCGAGATTACATCGATGCTGATGGTGGCGGTGGTGATGATTACGATGCTGACGATGCCGATGGCGACCATGAGGAACAGCATCAGTTGTAGACGTTGTAGTGGTTGTAGTGGTTGTACGAGTTGTGGTAGTTGTAGTCGCACGTGCGCCCTCTGGGGTGTGCTTCGGCACGCACCCACTGGGACGCGTGCTTCATCTCACACGCGCACTCTCTGGGACGTGCTCCAGCACGCACCCATTGGGATACGTTCTTAATTTCACACTCCTCACACGCGCACCCTCTGCAACGTGCACTCACCCACTGGGACATGTTTTGGGAAGCATCCACTGGGACACGTTCTGGCACGCATCCACTGGGACACGTTCTTAATTGCACGTGTATATTCTCGAACGTGCTGCGGCATGCACCCATTGGGGCACGTGTGGTAGTACGCGTTCCCTCTGCGACGCGTTTCGGACATATCCACTGGGACACGCGCTTCATCTTACATGCGCGCCCTCTGGGAAGTGCTCTAGCACTCACCTACCGCGACTCGTGTAGAAGTATGCGCACCCTTTGGGACGTGCTTCGCACTCAACCGCTGGGATACGAGGAGGGAATGGAGGAGGACGAGGACGGAGATGAGGACAAGGAGGGGGAGGAGGGAGGAGTGACGAGGGAGGAGGAGGAATAGGGAGATGAGAAGGAGGAGGACGAGGACGAGGAGGACGAGGAGGACGAGGACGAGGACGAGGACGAGGACGATGACGAGGAGGACGAGGAGGACGAGGAGGACGAGGGGAATGGTGGGGGAAACCGTCGTACCCCAAGAGGAGGGAGAGGAGGAGGATAAGGGAGACGGAATCGGGTGAAACGGAGGAGGATGAGGAGGATGAGTTCGAGGAGGAGGAGGAGGAGGAGGAGAAGGAGGAGGAGGACGAGGGGGAGGGGGAGGAGGAGGATGAACGAGGAGGGAGGAGGAGGAGGAATAGACGGATGTAGAGGAAGAGGGGGAGGGGGAGGAGGGAGGAGGGAGGAGAGGAGGGAGGAGGAGGAGAAGGAGAAGGAGTAGGCGGAGGAGGAGGAAGAAAGGAGGAGGAAGGAGATCGAAAGGGCCAGAAGCCTCTTGGATGCATCCCGGAGTCTTCTCGGATGTCTGTTGGGAGCTTTTTGGTGGCCTCTTGGGGCGTCCTGGGGGCCCCTCGGTGGTCCTATAGGCGGCGCTCCTGGGGCGATTTGGAGTGCTTTGAAAACCGCCCCCGGGAGTTCCGGCATCCTTGAAGGGAGTGCCCCGGGGATGTTTCCCACCAGAGACCCCCAGGGGCCGCCGCGCGCGCATTAGACACCTCTTGTATTTGTTACCTGAGATCTTGGCACGCCTCTGGCCCGTTGGGCCGGCGAGTGACGTCTGGGCGTGATCTCCGTCGCCGCAGCCGCACTCCCTGCCAGGGTGTTGTGAGGATGGACGCCAAAAGGGGTCTGGGAATCGAATGTTGAGGGATTTGGCCGACTCGGCGCCGAATCCTGCAGGGCTCGTGCCAGTAGCGCCGAACCCTTCGGGGCTCGCGCTGCGCCACCTGGGAGCGCTGAGCCCTCCGAGGCTCGGGCTCGCAATCGCCCAGCGCCGAGCCCTCTGGGGTTCGTGCTGGGTGCTCTTTTAATCTCCAGGTTCTGCATGTTTTTAAGAACGATGCTTTGGTTGTTTTTTGAACTGTGGATCTGGGGTCCCGGGCCTGGGTGAAAACCACGGCGCTGAACCTTTCGGGGCTCGTGCCACTAGCGGTGAACTCTCCTTGGCTCGTGCTACACCAGCTGGGGGCGCTCAACCCTTCGGGGCTCGTGCTCGCAGTCGCCTTGCGCTGAACCCTTCGGGGCTCGTGCCAATAGCGCTGAACTGTCTTCGGCTCGTGCTACACCAGCTGTGGGCGGTGAACCCTTCGGGGCTCATGCTCGCAGTCGCCTGGCGTTGAACCCTCTGAGGCTCTTGCCACTAGCGCTGAACCTGCGGGGCTCGTGCTACTTCGGCTGGGGGCGCTGACCCTCCAGGGCTCGTGCTCGCAGTCACCTGGCGCTGAGCCCTCCAGGGCTCGTGTCATTCGCGCTGAACCTTCCCTGGCTCGTGCTACTCCAGCTGGGGACGCTGAACCTTTCGGGACTCCTGCTCGCAGCCACCGGGCGCTGAACCCTCCAGGGCTCGTGCCACTAGCACTGAAACTTCCGGGGCTCGTGCTGCTTCAGCTGGGGGCGCTGAACCCTTCGAGTCTCGCGCTCGCAATCGCCGGGCGCTGAACACTCCGGGGCTCGTTGGGCGGCGCCCGCGGCACGAGACGTATCTTCCCCAGGGGGCGTACAAGTGCAAGTTGGAGCACTGATGCAGGGAGCCGTGCGACATATTCGGCGGCGCGTTCGCGGAGATTGGCACCTCCGGCGCAGGGCGACCGTGGGGCTCTCTCGGCTACAGCGAGGCCGCCGCCAAGGCGCAGGAGATCCAGGACAGGGGCTGTGCCGTCTTCTCTATGCTCTCTGACTTCTGATTTGGCTACGGCTGGGGCGAGCGCTCCGAGCTGCTCGGCAGCGCCGCGGGTTCGGAGTGGACCAGGTCAGCTCATGCCGTTGGTCACATACGGTGGCTTTGCCAGCCCACAGTTCGACGAGCTCCACCTCGGCAGCCGCGTCGACTAGGTTGATTGGTTCCAGGAGGCCCCTTTGAGAGAGACAGGGACATCGATTCATTGAGGGGGCCTTACAGAGCCCAAGGCAGAGACTTCCACCCAGTCCCCCAGGGCGCTGTGCCTGAACGGGCCCTTTATCATTAGTGCCACTGGACCAGAGCATCCCCTTCAGCGCTGGCACGATAAATGGCAAGACCTGCGCACTCGATTGGAGCACATCAGAAGGTGGATAAAATAGCTGAATGGCAACGTCGCCTGCTCCTCAGGACGATTCACCTGGGGCAAGGCTCGGTGATCGGTGGCGGCTCGGTGCACCTCGCCCACACCATCGGCATCGTGGGCGACAATGAGGAGTTGCTGAGTTTCCAGGTTGGCACCTTGCACGCGCACCCCTTCCCTCTTATCCTGGGCGGCGATTGGGATGTTCAGCCTTTCGAGTTTATGGGGGTGGTTTCTGGGAAAGTACGCTAGCGGTGGCAATGAACGCCGGGTATGGTTAGTTGTCAGGGCAAAGAATGCGACAACGCTGTTGGCTCCCGGCTGCTGGCCACTTTCAGGCGCGAGGTACAGGGAAAGGTTGAGGTCCCACTCGATCCCCGCGCGCCCTTGGCGGTCAGCTTTGAGGGCCCCTGGCGCAAGCCCTGTCTTGGAGCACGCGGGGCCTAAGGCTTTCCCTCAGACGATTTCCATGGTGCTCGGCGGCGTCTCGCCCAGAGATTACTCAGCTGTGCCCCTGGGAAGATAGCGTCGAGGCGCGGGGGGCTGACTTCGAGGCGAGGCCGCGGTTGTGACATGCGGTGGCGACGCGGTAGTGACATGCGGTGGCGACAAACAAGCAAAATTGCCAGATATTCGACATCCCCCCGGAAAAAGAAGCAGCGAGACTTCCACGGCGGGGCCGGATGCCTCGCAGTGAGAAATGTAGCTATACTCGCTCGACGCATTGTAGAAAATTAAGGAGTAGACCAACACTTCGGATACCCTGGCCTGGAGATCTTTTGCGAAGCTACGGAGGAACGTCTGTGGCTGAGCGTGGCGGGGCCTGTCGGCGCCGAATCCGTCGGCCTCGGTTTGGCCAGGTGGCCCGAGCATCAGCTGAGCGGCCAGCGCCGCCCTATGCATGATGAGCCGTCGCGGCGCCTGCAGCTGCCAGGCCCCTATCGCGGAGACGTGCATCCTGGGGGCCACGGCGATCGACGAGTGGCTTGCCGCGGGCAGGGAGAAGCCCCGGCACTGCCGCCAGCTGCGGGAGCTGCCGGAGGTGGAGCTCGCTGCCAGGACTTAGGGAGGACGCGGCGACCAAGCGCCAGGACTGGGCGGCAGCTCGCGCCGAGGCCCTGGACGGGAGCAGCAAGATCGCCGGCGCGGTGATCGAACCGCGGCTTCGAGAGACAGAGCGTGAATTACCTATCCCGCTTTTGCTTCCAGGCAAAACCAAGCCATGCCACGCGCCTCCTCGTCCAGCGGCCTGGCCAGTGCAGGCTGCAATTTGGCGTCGTTTGGTATCTCTTGGAAGCGAGTGTGGTTAAAAAAAGCGAGGTCGGTTTGTTTTTTTCCCCAGAGAGGGCGCCCCTGCGACGCGGGGGGGGGCTGCCTGCGGCGGGCGGCGAGGAGGCGAATCGGGTCTTGGGCGACTGGGGCCACTTGTGGACGGCGGGCGGATGGCAGCGTGGCCTGCGCCCGACCCCGTGGCACATGGCGCGGGGCTTCTCGCCCGTCGCCGCCGACGACGTCTCGGCGGCCCTCCCGCCTCTCCCCGGCAGCGCGGCGGTGGGCAGAATCGGGGGTGGAAGGGGGCCCCCAACAGTGACGCGTCAATCAGTGAATTGCCCATTTTCGGTTCTCGAGACGGCGCCGTGGCCGTTATTTTCCAGGCTTGCGCCCGCCAGCTTTGGGCCTCAGGTCGTTTTCATTAAACCACGTTTTATTAAAGGGGGGTCTGTCCATCCCCGAGAGAGGTTGCCGACGCAGGTGAGGATCGGATCTCTTGAACAGTTGAGGGCAGAGCCCTTGTCAGCACGCCCTGCCGAAGCCGACGAGCGGAAGGCGCCCGATCGGCCCGATGTGCGCGCGGATCCGCCAGAGGGTGGTTTGAAAATTGAAGAAACATAGCAGCTCGTCCTGGTTCCAGCTACGCGCGCACCATGCTCGCGCGTGATGCGCGAGCCAGAGACCTCAAATCGATTGGCGCATTTCACGACGCGGCCAAGTTCCACGGGAACATCGCGCACGGGCAGTTACGCGCATCGGCTGTGCGCCTTATTCATTCGCCCCAGGCCTACTGCGCGCGCGGCGCGCCCTATACAGGCGCCCGCGTCACGTCGAGCGGGGGGCCTCCATCGGCATCGCTGCGGAGGCCAGCGGGACCACTGTGGCAAGGTCCAGCTGCGCGACGGGAGTCTCTGCGCTGATGATGTTGGGAGTGGTCAGATGTATCTTGTTTTCGATGCCCCCGCGCCATAGTATCGACCTCATCGATGACTGCTCGTCGGGCGCGGTTGGCGGCCCCGTCGCCTCGGCGAGGCATGCGGCCCAGGCCCGCGCCGAGGTGGCCCGCGTCAAGGTTCAGCTCCCCATCAATTAGGGTAGGACCAGGTTCAGGACCTCCGACCCCGAGGTGCTAGCTCCTGAAAGACCCCTACTCGGACTCGACCTCAGCGCCACGCGAACACACATCGGGACCTTGCGTGGGGAGTCAGGCAATCGGAAAGTCAGAGGGCCCCCCGCGGTCCGCGGTTCTCCAGAGGATCTCAGAGGTCAAGAAGATATCCAGCAAGTTCAGCCAGCTGGGAGTGGACGCCGCGGTATCCAGGGTCTTCTGGACGGGGCTTCTGGCAAAGGTCACTTGGGGCTCCTCCATCATCGGGATGGCCGGCACGAGCCTCCAAAAACTATGAATCCAGGCAGCCCAGGCAGCGGGCCCGCCCCATCCAGGTTGTGTGCTCGGGTCTTGTTTCATGCTCGACCCGTTCCCGGCCAGGGCGGGCTCCTTCGAGGCCGCGACGGCCCAGGTAGTCCAGGACGTAAGGGCGTTGGTCGTGTCTCTTGGGTGCGACAAGTAACGTGGGGCGTCATGGAGTCTGGCTTCCTGGGCGGCATTGAGGTGCTGAGCTCGAGTAATCGTTGGCTCTCAGATAATCATCTCGTCGCAGAACTGTCGGCCACCTTGGACAGAATCAAGTTGCGCTTTGCTTTTCATGGCAAGTCCCCGGTTGACGATTCCGGGCGCCCCTGGCCCATCCTGAGCTTTTTTCATCCCTCTTCGTTGCGGGCCAAGTTCGAGGGGCTGGTGTGTCTGCGCAGTCGATCAACTGGCCCGTGGGCGGTGTTTCGATGGGCGAAGAGGGGTGGACCGTTTTCGCGCATGGGTCCTGTTCCGACGTCAAATTCCTCGGGTTCAGGATCGCGGGGTGGTCGTTCTGCGTCGTCAAATCCAATGGGGACTTTTTGTCTGGGCTCTACGGGTGTACCCCGCTCGCCGAGGCCCTTGGGGCCTACGCTCTTCGGCATCTTGGGTTTCGCATTTTGCTCGGGGCGGGGGTTTGAGGTTCATGCAGATTGCAATGCCACGGCGTCTGCGGCCAGTTGTCTTCCAGCATCTGCCGACGAGAACCAGACTACGTGCCGCTGGTGGTCGGAGAGCTTCAGCGAAGGTCCCCCCCCCACCCCCCCCACCCAGTGCAGCGCTTCGCAGCCCCATAGGGCGCTCCACCGAAGGCCCCAGAGGCACCGGTGCGCCCCCCCCCCACTACAGCGGGTCGTGGCCCCACAGGGAGCTCCACCGAAGGTCCCAGTGGGACCGCCCGCATGCGTCCCCGCCCACCCTGTACAGTGTTTCGTGGCCCCATATGGGGGCTCCGCCGAAGGCCCCAGTGGCACCGCCCGCATGCGTCTCCACAACCCGCTACAGCGCGTCGTGGCCCCACAGGGAGCTCCACCGCGAAGGTCCCAGTGGGACCGCCCGCATGCGTCTTCCCCACCACTTACTGCACGCCCCATCGCGCGTTGCGTGGCGCACTGGAAAAAAAAACACTAAGCGTTACTCACAACTGCACATGGTTGGGTCCTTCGCCGGGATATTTTTTTGGGGGTTCGTGGGAGGAGGCGGCCTCGATGGTTCAGGCCGCACGCGACGCGAAAGCTGCGGCAGCGTCGGCAAAGGCTTTGCCCCCCTGCCCCCCGACCACCTCTTTGGCGCCCTGAAAGAATTGGGGTCGTTCACCCGTGAATTGCATGTGGTGAATGTGGCCGCCCCCCTTGACAGCTTAAGGCTGAGCCTCCTCCTCCTCTTCCTCCTCCGCTTCCCTTCTGTCCTCCCCGTCCGCCCCCTTGGTTCCCCGTATTCCCCGCCCTCCCCTTTCGCAGCGGGCCGCCCAGAGACCCCGCGCCGCTGGGCGCGGCGTACGGCCGCGTGCCTCTCGAGGGGGAGGCGGAAGGGCTTTAGCCGGCCCGTGGCGCTTCCCTCCAGGCGGCCCCCGGCTTGGCGGCTCAACTCGCGCAGCAAGAGGCCCCCACAGGTGGACGGCATCAAGGACGCCTACAAAATCGGCTCCTCCTCAGGGAACGGGGGGGGAGGCGGGGGGGGGGGGGCGACGAGGACGAGGGCAGTGAGAAGGAGCACGGAGGGGAGGGCACGAACGGCTCCTTTGGGAAGTTTGGGGGGGGGCCGGGGGGAGGCGTGGACGGATGTCGAGGATGAGGACCCAGAGGTGTTTATCGATCCGATGGATACGATTCGATTCAGGAGCGAAAGAAAGACGTAAGGAGTACACGTACGTGAATCCACGCTGGCTTCGACACCACGTGTTGCGCGAACCTTTTCCCGCCGACGAGGCTGATCTCGCGGACTGGCGGGCCGTATTCATGCACGTGGCTTGGAGCATATGTCTTTTGTGGGCTCCCGATCGATACACGCCACTCGTTGCAAGTATTAAGTCGGGCCTGTCCCCTTTCAGGGGGATTTTCAGCGACAAATAGAAAATACCCAGACAAATTCTTCAAGAAGGTCAAAAAATAGTCAACAAATAGTCCCCAGATTATTTTTGGATTTTTTTTTGTTATTTTGGGGGTATTTTGATTTTTCGTCGAAATGCAAGGACGCCGATCTGGCCGACATACCCCGATCGGTCCAACTGGACGTGTCGGCGGCGCGCCCGAGGGGGAGAGTTAGAAGGGGCGGGAGTGCTCGGAATGCTCGGAAGGCCTCCGACCTTCTGAGCAGTGCACCGGGACGTCCCCGAAGACACAAACAACTGCTCGGAAGGCCAGAAGGCCTCTCAGGACGGGGCTAGGACGAGGACAAATCAGGAGGGGAAAAAACACAGACACAATTAATCGCCGATTCCCAAGAAAATATAAGAAAATATGGGAATTGGACGGGGAAACAATAAAAACAGAAAATATTGGTAAATATGGGGAATCTTTTAATTTGCGTGTATTTATTTGTGTGTCCCAGGGCCCCTTCAATAAATCCGTTCCAGAGCGTTTGGGAACGCTCTCAGAGCGTTCCAGAATGCTCTGAGGAGGCACCCGAGATATCTTCCAGAGCCGCCAGATTTTTATAGTTTCTTGGGTTGTCCCCACCCGAATGTATCTTCGTCCTGGTTTCGTCTTACTTATGAGAAGCCCCGCCGCCTTCTGAAGAGGCCAGCCCTGTCTCACTTCCCTCCCGAGCGCGCCGCCTAATATCGTTCCGGGCAGCCCCGATCCGAGTCGTTTCCGATAGCCTGGCGATCTGATGCGGCCCGATTGTTGCATGGTATTGTTGTGCACCTTGCCGAAGCTGGTGTGATTCGATTTCAACTCCGTGCCGATGCAGTCAGATCCGACGCACATGTCGTTTCGGCCTGATTTGCCCATCCGATGTTCGTTGATCCTGCCCTCCCAGGCAGTGCCCCGCGGGAGTTGGCCGTGGAGTGCAGTGAGTCGTAGAAGCTAAAGGCATGAGCAGAAACTTTTCCTGAGCTCCTCGCAGATGTATTGGGGTTGTACTGGACTGAGTCGAAGAACAGTTCGGATATGCGCGCGGATTCCTTAGGTTGACACTGAAGTGGGTCGCAGAAGATAAAGTGTATGGTGTATGGATTCAAACTTTGGAATCTCCGCGCGGCTTTTTCGGGTCGGTGCTGGATTGACATAAGATGTCAGAGCTCAAAGCGGAGTTCTTTGGTTGGCATTTGAGTGAGTTCAAGGAAGACAGAGGCATGAACGTAATAATTCGGAGTTCGTTCCGCGCTGATTTCTTGGGTCGGCAGTGGAGTGAGCCGAAGAAGGTGCAATCGCATGACCATGATATTTCGGAGCTCCGCTCGCATTTCTTGGGTCGGCGCTGAGCCCAACACTATCAAACGGTATGAACATGACATGTCTGGGCTCAACGCGGTTCCTTGGGTCGGCGCCGGAGTGAGTCGAAGAAGGTGAAATTGCATGATCGTTCGGAGTTTCGCGCGGATCTCATGGGTCGGCAGTGAGGTGAGTCGAAGAAGGTGCAGCCGCAGGACCATAGTATTTCGGAGCTCCGCGCAGAGCTCTGGGGTCGGCGCTGGAGTGAGTCGAGGATCCCCAAACAACTTCATGGGCATACACTTTCGGAGCTCCGCGCGGATTCAGTGGGTCGTCGCTGGATTGATCCGAAGAAGGTAACACTGCATGACCATACCAATGTGGTGCTCCGCGCAGATTTCTTCGGTCTGTGCTGGAGTGAGTCGAAGGAACTAGAACGGCATGAACGGAAAAACATGGAGCTCGTTTGGAATTCTTGGGTCGGTGCTGGAGTGAGCCGAAGAAGAACAGCTAGGAATATACACTGTCGGCATTCTGCGCAGATTTCTTGGGTCGGGGCTGGAATGAGTCGAAGACGACAAAACATAAATGCCAATGTTCGGAGATCCGCGCAGATCTCTTGAGTCGACGTTGGAGTGGACCGAAGACGATGAAACGTGGTGGTACTGTATTGAATCGGAGAGGCTGAAACGAGATGACCATACAGTTTCAAAGTTGTGCGTTGATTATGTGGGTCGGCTTGGAGTGAGCCGAATAAAAAACATCTATGAGTACACATTTTCGGACTTCTGCGCGGATGTTTTGGGTCGGCGTTGGATTGAGCCGACAAGTAAACAATCATAAGCATAAGCATTCGAAACCCAGTGCGGATTTCTTGAGTCGTCTCGGCAGTGAAGAAGATACAGTGGCATGAACAGAAACAGGTGGATCTCACATCAGGGCGGTCTTGCATCTTCTGCACCTTCCGAGCCCAGCTGGGCGTTCTCGGGGCGATAATTGGGGCGTGTCTGGGTCCTGCTCTTACCAGCGTGCTGGGGTTATGGTGTTAGGATTAGAGTGTTCGGGTTCTGGTGGCAGGGTTAGGCGGTTCGAGTAAGGGTGTTAAGGTTAGTGGTAGGGCGGAAGTGTTTGGGTGTCAGGGCTATGGTGTTACACTTATGGTGTTAGGGCGTCGGCATGTTCAGGTTAGCGTGTAAGGTTCGTGTGTCAGGTTTATTGTGTCAGGGTTAGGTATTAGGCTTAGGGTGTCAGGATGAGGGTGTCAGGGCCAGAGTGTTATGGTGTCAGGGTTGAGGTTGGGGTATTAGGGTATTGGTGTTAGGGTTACGGTGTTACGCTTAGGGCGGTAGGGTTTGGGATAGGGCGGCAGTTGTCGGGATCGATATGTTTGGGCTAGGCAGGGGTAGGGTATTAGTGTTAGAGTGTTAGGGTTAGGGTGGTAGGGTTCGGGTCAGGGTGTTAGGGTTCGGATGGTAAGGGCTAGGATTTGGGTAGTAGGGTTAGGGTTAGAATGTCAGTGTGTTAGGGTGTGGGTGTTAGGGTGAGGGTTCGGGGTGCTCTGTTTAGGGTGTTAGGGGTGAGAATGTTAGGCTTAGGTCGACAGGGTTAGGGTTCGTGTGTTAGGACTTGGGTGCTAGGGCTAGGGTTGCACGCTTAGGGCGGTAGGGTTAGGGTTAGGGTGTCATGTATAGGGTGTTAGGATACGGATGTTAAGGATAGCGTGTTCGGCTCAGGGTGTTAGACTTCAGGTGTTAGGATTTAGGTGTTTTGGGGGTTAGGGTTGGGGTTTGGGTGTAAGGCTTAGTGAATTAGGGTTAGGGTGTTCGGCTTCGGGTGTTTGGCTTAGGGTGTTCGGGACAGTTTGTTTGGAGAAGGGTGTTAGGCTTGGAGTTAGGGTGTTAGGGTATTGGTGTTAGGGTCATGGTGTTACTCTTAGTGTGGTAGATTTCAGGTTAGGGCGGAAGGTTCGGAGTAGGGTGTGAGGACTAGGCAGGGGAAGGGTGTTAGGGATCGGGTGTTCGAGTTAGGGCGGTGCGGTTTGGGTTCCAGTGTCAGCGTGTGGGTGCTAGGGTTAGGGTGGTAGTGTTTGGTTTAGGGCGGTAGGGTTAGGACGTTAGGGGGAGGGTGCTGGGATGTTAGGCCCCCGGGGTCAGTGTGTTCGGGTCAAGGTGTTCGGGTTAGGGTGTTAAGGTGAGGGGTAGGGCGGTAGGGTTAGGGGGTAGGGTTCCGGAGCCAGGGAGGCGGTGTGGCCGATTTCTGAGTCCGAATGGGGGAGGAAGGGGTCCAAACACGCTCCCCCCCCTCTTCTGCAAGGTGGGGGGGGAGGGCGTCCGCGACGACGGATCGGAAAAAGCGAGGGAGGAGAGGGTGTGTTCCCGGGACGACGGACCAGGGGAAGGGAGGGAGAAGAGGGGGGTGTCCAGGACTCCCCCTCACCACTTCGGGCAGCCAGCGGCGCGCCCTCCTTATTCAAGAGCCTTACGCCATTTCGCCACCCCCCGCCTCTTTTGGGCCTCTTTTGGGGCCTCTTTGGGGCCTCGTCGGGCCTCTTGTTAGTTTCTGCGGCGCCTGCTGGCATTCTCGGGGGTCCTCTTGGGGCGGAAGGCTCGGAGTGTCAGATCGAGTTGCCTCTCTTGGGCCCCTCTCGGGGCCTTGTATAAGCTCTCTTGGGCGCTCCTGGGCGCCTCTTGAGTCGTCTTGGGACTCGTCGGCCGTCTGGGGCCCTCTCGCGGGCTTCCGGGGCCGTCTTGGAGCGATCACGGGGGCCTCTGGAGCCGTCTTTGACGCTGTCGAGGCCAAGAATGCGAAGATGTTCAATTTGCTTTTTCCCCCAGCGGCTTTTGACGAGTATTGCTTCTTTGGGCCCCTTCGGGGTTCGTTTTGGAGCCGTCTTGGGGCGTTTTTGAGGACTCTTGGGCAGTCTTGAGTCTTGGCCGTCGTGGATTACTCCTGTGCGCGTTGAAGCCCTGCTTGAGCAAGCGCAGATCGATGCTCAGGCATCTTAAAGGTCACAGAGTGTAGAACTGGAGGCTCCAGAGGCCCTGGGCCCTGGGGGAGCGTTGATGAACTCATAGCACCCCCCCCTATTGTCGGAATCCAGACTTCAGGGGAGGAGGAACGGGGAAGGGGGACACGACAGCCACTCCTCTCACGTGACTTTGCACCCCTGGCACGCGGGGTCGGAGGATTACAGTCAGCGGCTTGAAAAAGGAACACTTGCTTTTCAAAAGGGGCTCGGTCGTTCCTTAGGTTAGCATCCGTTTATGTATCGTTTCTTATGTGTTCTGTATTATTTATCGTTCCTTAGGCGTTATTCCTTGGACAAAAAATGTGGCTTCGTTCCTTATTTATCGCTCCTTAGGTCAGGCCGATGACTGTATGAGGTCGGTGATTCTGCCATCCTTCCCTGCCCCTTCAGGGGGCCGGTTCCATCTGGTGTTGCTTGGCTGATGTTGTTTTGCCGAATATGGCGGTTCGGTGTTAGTCGGTTCGGATTTGTCTCATCATTCGAAGACCCCCCAAAAGGCATGCACATGCAGTCTTTGAGGTCTGCGCTAATTTCTTGGATCGGCGTTGGACCGCCCTCCTGGCGCATGGAGCGCACCAGGGGCGCCGCCAGAGGGGGTCCAGCGCAGATCCAACCCATCCGCGCAGACCTCCTAGAGTTTCTGTTGATATTGTTTGTTGTTCTAATTGTTATTTTCTTTTCGGTCCGATAGGGATGGGCACGGAAATAATGGGTACGATGACCAAAGCGGTGCTTGTGGCTTTTGAACCAGATTCGTTGTCGGAGTCGTCGCGGGCATGTGTCCATTTGAGACCCAAGCTTGCTTGCATCAGCGACTGCTGTCGGTTTTGGGCAACATGTGCTGTTCATCATCGTATGTGTTTCCATTATTTTTGCGGGCGTCCAGATCCTTAGCCCCGTCCGTCCCTCCCGACCGCGCCCGCGCAGTCTCGCCTTTCATGACGCACTTCATGGGCGCGCAGGGCGGTACGTTCACGTGCGGCGCCGACAGGCGCTCCAACGCGCGCGGGTGGGGGGGGGGCTCCAGGTGCCTCGGTCACGGCTTCGAATCCCCTGATACTTGGATGCCCGATTTTTGTTGGTCGCGACCGATTGTTGGAATCTATCGCGATCGGTCGCGACTGATTTGGAGTGCCGATCGGTCGCTACATATCGCGACTGACATGATTCGGTTTTCAATGATCAGGATCAGTGGAACGTCATCAGACCCTCTCGCGCCGCGAAACAACTGCTTTTGCTGGTCTCTTGCTATTGCCGTTTCTCCGTTGGTCTCCAGGGGCCCTCCCCGGTTCCCGGACCATCAAACAACGACTTAGGATGAAAAGTCGGGCCCGGGGAATTGCTCGAGATATCCAGTGTTCCACATCGTGAACAATTCATGACGTCCAGGGTCTGAGCCAGTCTGTGCGATCGAAATCGGCACGGAAAGGATAGGGACGACGACCGACAGCAGATCTTGTCCAGTTTGAACAGGAGTCGTTGTCGGCGTCGCCGCATGCCTTGTCCGCTGGAAGCAACATATGCCACTTGCCCGAAGGCGGCCGCTTCTGGTTTTGGACAGCATTTGCTGTGGAGCATCTCACAACTTCTTTACGTACCCATGTCGGGGGTGCCAGGTAAGAGTTGGCAGAGTGGAAGGGTCAGTCAGTGACGAAACCCCCTGGTTTGCCGCGAGTCGCCGACCCCCAACCATCCAGGCACAACAAAGAGCTACAGTCGGGGCTCTGAATAAGGAACCCTTTTCATTGGGGAGGGGCTCCGTGTTCCTTCATTGTTGCATATGTTGCCCAAGGTTATCCTTGGATTTTCGATGGGAAGTCGAAGTTGAACTTCTGGGGAAAAGGGGCCTCGTTCCTTATTTTGGGTTCCTTAGGTCAACGCCCCGACGTTACAACCACAACGAAATGGATTTTGGGGAGAGCCGCTCGGGGGAGAACCCACCGACCTCGACATGAACACTTTGGTTGTGGTTGCGGTCATTTGGCCGTCCTTGGACGCCACATCGACCACAACCAGCGCGAAGTTGGTTTCGGCGTTCGACAGTTTTTCGCATGCGCAAGTCTTCCCCCCAGGGTGTGCCGTCGATGTGGTTGTGGTCGCTTGCCCTCCCCGCAAAAAAAAGAACCCAGTGGCCATGCATGCCGTTTGGTGTACAGCGTTGTTGGAACAGTTCGGGCTGAGCTATTATCTTCGAGACATTGGCTGCATCTTCTCAGATCACTCTTGTTCCTGCTTTTGCGTATTAATGTCATACGAACAGTTTGTTGCTAGGTTTATGGGGATACCGGACGGTGGTTGCCTGCTTGAGGGATGGAGGAGGACCCCAGATAACAACATCAATTTGAGTAACGGCCTACCCTCCAGCCCCGATTCGGAAGCGTCGTGTTCGGGCCGATGTGCTTACCGCCGTCGATCGGCGACGAACCAACGGTAGCAACAAACATCGTTTCAGCCGAATGTTCAGGATTGGCCGACCGCCTACATGCTCCTGGGCCGAGCTGCCCCTGATCGAAGAAGACACGACTTCATACACAATGTTTCTGAGGTTCGCGCAGATTTCTTGGATCGGCGCTGGTGCCTTTGGCGCCGTCTCTGACGATCTCCGCGCGCCAGGGAGGGAGGTGCAGCGCAGATCCAAGAGAACCGCGCAGACCTCCGATAGTGTATGCTAAACTCGTTTGTCTTGCCCTGTATGCTAAACTCGTGCATGGGGGCGACGACCTCGCCAGACATCCTCTAGAGCGGCTGTGCGTGCGCCAGCGTTCAGAGCCAGAGATGCTGGGCGCGTGCCCGGGCCGCCTGGGGCGAGCGGCGGGCGTGCTCCTCCCTTCCCTCCCTTCCCTCTCCTCTCTCTCTCTCTCATCCCCCTCCTCCCTCTCCCCCCCTCCCACCCCCTCCCTCCCTTCCCTCCTCCTCTTCTCCTGGCCGCCTTCCCATCCCCCCTCCCTTCCTCGGCCGCCTTAACTACCCCCTCTTCTCCCGACCGCCCCCCCTCGCGGATCGGCGCTCTCGCTCTTTCTACCACTGCTGGTTGCTACTCGCTGCCGGTTTGGGCATGCCCCGCTGGAGCGACTAGCGAGCCCTCATGACGAGGGAGCCTGTGGCGCTGTAAGCGCTGCTGGTCTGAACCCTGCCTCCGCTGACCCCTCCTCCCTTCCTCCGCTCATCCTGGCTTCCCGTCCCTCGGCGAGCTGACGCAACGGCGGCTCTCCCGCCTGACTCGGATCCGCTCAAAAGCGGTTCCCAGACTCCTCTTGGGGTCCATCCTGACCTGTTCCTCGAGGCGGATTCAGCCGTGGCGACGAGAGGGCTCCAGGATGCCCCAGAGAGGACACGACAAAACAGGGCAAGCCGCCGTTGTCTCGATTGGTCATCCTTCCTTATCTTCACCTAGCCGCAGCACAGCGCGTCTGGGTAGTACACGTGGTCCCTTGCGCCCGAGTCCCTTAGCCCTGTGGGGACACGATTGCAGGCAGGCATTCGCCTGCCAGCCCCCCTTGAGGCTTGATTTTGGCGTGCAGCCTCGCTTGCCCACCGTTCGTTGAGAGCATGTGTTTGGGGGTGTCTAGATACCAAGATGTCTTTTGGCGCCTTCATATATCAAGAGTGTAATGTTTTTTTCCCGTAGTTTGATCGCCGGCATTGGCTCGATAGCCTACCCCGCCCAGGAGCATGTGGATCCGCTATCGGGGGCCCATCCTGGGCCTATCGGCACTGCATCGTCGATTCCAGGTCGATGTTTATCCCCCTGAGCTTGCTCTCCCTGCTGCTGCTGCCGGCTGCGGACACTGGGGTCCCCCCTCGCGATCCGTAGCGGCCTGTCGGCATTCGTGCGCATTTTGAAGCAGATCGGTCGCGACCCATCCCGGGATTTGGAGCACAATCGGTAGGCAGGCGTCGCGTGATGGCGGGATGATGCATGGGGGGGCAGCGTGGGCTGCAGAAGAGGAGCCCTTCAGGTCCCCAAAATGAGCCTCTGGGGCCCGTCAAGTGCACCTTCCTTCCCCCCAATTCATCGCCCCCCCCCACGAAGCGACGCCCAACGTTTGCGACCGATCTCGTCGGTCGCGGCCCCTCACCGATCATGGCATCGTTGCCCCTCACCGCCACGCCCCGACCAGCGATGCTCCAGCGCGAGTCCGATGTAAGAGCCCGACGGGCAGGAGGCGAGGAGGAGGAAGAGGAGGAGGAGGAGGAGAAGGAGGAGGAGGAGGGAGAGGAGGAGGAGGAGGCAGATGAGGTGGTGGAGGTGGAGGAAGAGGAGAAGGTGGGGGTGGAGGAGGCGGAGGAAGGTGGAGGAGGGGAGGGAGGTGGAGGGGTGGGGCGCGGTCGGGAGGGGAGGTGGCGGAGGAGTCGGAGGAGAGGAGGATTCGCCGAGGATTCGCTCGGGCGGTCGAGGCAGCGCGCGGGCTGCTTGACCGCGGGGGGCCCCGCGCGGCGCGGTCGCGCGCGGCGTGGGCCCTCTCCACGCCATTGCCCGAGGGATTCCACGCTGCACCCGCCGCTGAATCACATCTCAACTCTGCGGGCACTCAGCTGGAGTCGGCGCTGGCGTCGAGGAGGAGGAGGACGGAGGACGAGGGGAAAGAGGGGGTGGAAGACCGGGAGGAGGGAGGAGGGGAAACAGGAGGTGGAGAAGGATGAGCGGAGGAGGACGGAAGGGAAGGAGGGGAGGAGCAGGAGGGGAGAAGGGGAGCATGGGAGGAGGAGAAGGAGGAGGAGGAGGAGGAGGAGGAGGGGAGGCGGGGAAACGGAGGGGGGGAGGGGGGAGGAGCAGTGACGTGGGCGATCCGTGCTCCCAGACCTCACGAAGACAAGCTGCGAGGCCTCGCGAGGACTCGCGACCCGACTTGCGCCGGATCCACGCCAGGTCCACCTCCCCTCCCGACGGCCTCCCTGCCCTCCGCCCTGGCCCCCACCCCCCCGCAGCCGCCAGGCCGCCCGCCTCCGCCGGCGCGGGCGGCTCGCCGCCCGCGTCCTCCAGGTCGGCCTGCTGAGGGCTCGCAGGGCTCTTCCTCAGTCGGCGGCGAGCCCGAGGGGGGAGGAGGAGGAGGAGGAGGAGGAGGAGGAGGAGGAGGAGGAGGAGGAGGAGGAGGAGGAGGAGGAGGAGGAGGGGAGGAGGAGGGGAGGAGGAGGAGGAGGGGAGGGGAGGAGGAGGGGAGGAGGAGGGGGAGGAGGAGGAGGAGGAGGAGGAGGAAGCGTGAAGGGGCGGGCCCTCTCTCAGAAGGCTCGGAAGCCCGCCGGCCTCTGAGAAGTGTTCGACGCCTCTTCCGAGGACGCGGGCACCTCTCAGAAGGCGCGAGCGCCGCGTGAGGACTCCCGCCGCCTGCTAAGAAGGCCTCGCTCTTCCCACTCCTCGGCGACGGATCGCGGGCGAAGCACCCAGTCGTCTAGCGTAGCGAAGAGTTCGCGGCGGAGGCTCTTCACAGTCTTCGGCCTCTCGGGGCCCTGGCCGGGCCTCGGGAACGTCGGCAGGCAGCTCGGGATATGAGGAGCCGGCCCTGGGGGAGTGGTCGAGAGGTCGGGAGCCCGTGTCTCGAAGAGATCTGGGCCCCCTACGTTTGTCGGCGGCGAGCGAGGGGGGGAAGTGAGAAGGAGAAGGCCTTCTCAGAAGGTCGCGGGACTTCTCAGAAGCCCTCGGACCTTCTGAGACGTTTTGTTGCGTCTTCGGAGAAGGCTTAGAACACTTCTCAGAAGGCTGGTGGCCTTCCGAGCCTTCTGAGAAGGCCTTCTCCTTCTCGCTTCCCCCCCTCGCCCGCCGCCAAGTCTGGGAACGTGTCCGCATCCTCCGCTTCGCGGGCCGCGCCGCTGGATCGAGCAGTGGCGAAGCGTCCGGGCTCGCCCAGAGGCCGACCAAACAATGTTCTAAGAACCGTTTGTCGGGGGTGGACAGAACCCCCAACAGTGACTCGTCGATTCGTGAATTGTCCGTTTTCGGTTTTCGAGAGGGCGCCTTGGCCGTCATTTTCCAGGCCTGCGCCCGCCAGGTTTGGGCCTCAGGTCGTTTTCACTAAATCACGTTTTACTAAAGGGCGATCTGTCCATCCCCGAGTTTGTGGTCTGCACGACATGCTCTTAGAACATTTCTGGCTGGGGGTGTGCTGCTTTAACACATCGGGCTTAGTTTCTAAGAGCATTGCTTCTGTGTTTCGAACGCTGCTGGGCTCGAAGAACATGTCGTGGCAGGCCTATAGGAATGCCAGGACGGTCGGTCCTTGCTGAATTGTTCTCGGATGCCCCCCGCGGAGCGCATCCGTGCGGCCGCGTGATCACGCCCTAGAATCCAGACCGCGAGGGCACGGAGACGGGTATGCCTGCCCCTCGTGAAGGGAGGGAGGAGGCTTTCTTTTCTACCCCCTGACGAGAACGGGCGCGACCGGGAGGGAGGGAGGGGGGAAGGAGCCAGTCTCGTCGCGGCTCCCGCTTGCGCCGTCCGGGAGTGCCCAGGGATGGTGGATTCCCAGACGGCGCTGGCGCAAATCGTGGCGTGATCAGGGAGCGGATGGGCGGACGGGCGGGGCCGGTCAAGAGCGTCATCGCGATTTTTGATGAATAGGCTCGAGGAGGGATCAGATTCAGATCTCCGACGAAACTATGCTCTTCCATCCAGGCGACGTTCCTCGATTTCGGCGTCCAGGGACCGCTCATGACTGAGCCCTGGGGCCGTTCAGAGTGGGTCCAGGCTCGACAGACCATACCGGGACCTTCTGGGCCGCGCCTTAGGAACAAAAAAACGTGGTCGGATATCTTCGGACGCGCTTATAATGGAGTTAAATCCGTTCCAGAGCGATCCAGGACGCTGCTGAAACGGCCGTGGTGTCTGACACATTTCCCAAGCCCGCCGATTCTCAGATATTTCTGATGTGCCTTCGTCTCGTCTCGATGTTGCCTTCGTCTCGTGTCTGGGGCTTCGATCAAGGACGGGCCACTCTGGGGTGGAGAAGAGGTGTCGTCGAGGCGTCATCGCTGGGAGCCCGTCCGCGCGTTTTTCTTCTCCGGTTCCTGTCCGCGGGCACGCGGCTCCCTTCATGCAGTAACGCGCCGATGGGTTCCACGCGGCGGCGTGCCTTTGATAACCGAGGTTGCCCTTGCATCCTTCCCCCTTCGGCCCATCCTTGGCCGCTTTCGCTGGCCTCGCCCCTCTCACAAAGTGTCGACATCGCCTTCCAAGGCCCTTGCGTCCTGATCGTGCGTCGTCAATAATACGGGTGGACTGTAACACAACGATGGGTTCCACGCGGCGGCGTGCCACTGATATTTGCCAACCATCTTGTGGTATTGGGTTCTCGTTTTGAAGAGACAGCTTTTATCATCCCCTTCATCATCATTATCATCATCAGCGGCAGCAGCAGCAGCCTCATCACCATCGTCATCATCAACAACAATATCCGCATCATCACCATCATCCGCATCAGTATCATCATCAACATCAACATCCGCATCAGCATCATCCGCATCATCATCATCAGCATCATCATCACCATCATCTTCACCACCACTAGCATCGTCATCATCATCATCATCATCAGCATCATCACCATCACCAACACCATCACCATCACCATCGTCATCGCCACCCATGCGGGCATCCCTCCTTTTTTTCGGCACACCTTTCACATGCTCCGTGGCCTCATCGGGAGCTCCATTGAAGGTCCCAGTGGGACCGCCCGCATGCGTCCACCACACCCAGTACAGCGTTTCGTGGCCCCATAGGGAGCTCCACCGAAGGTTCCAGTCGGATCGCCCGCATCGCATGCGGCAGCCACACCCAGTGCAGCGTTTCGTGACCCCCTCGGGAGTTCCCCCGAAGGTCCCAGTGGGACCGCCCGCACGCGTGCGCCACACCCAGAACAGCGCTTCGTGGCCCAATACGGAGCTCCACCGAAGGTCCCAGTGGGATTTCCCGCATGCGGCAGCCACAGCCAGTACAGCGCTTCTTGGCCCCATAGGGAGCTCCACCGAAGGTCCCAGTGAGTCCGCCCGCATGCGTCCGCCACATCCAGCACAGTGCTTCTTGGCCCCATAAGGGGCCCCACCGAAGGTCCCAGTGGGACCGCCCGCATGCGTCCGCCACACCCAGTACAGCGTTTCGTGGCCCAATACGGAGCTCCACCGAAGGTCCCAGTGGGATTTCCCGCATGCGGCAGCCACACCCTGTAAGTACAGAGTTTCGTTGTCCCATCGAGAGTCCCAGTGGGACCGCCCGCATGCGGCCGCCACAACCAATACGGCGTTTTGTGGCCCCACAGGGAGCTTCACCGAAGGTCCCAGTGGGACCGCCCGCATGCGTCCGCCACACCCAGTACACATGCGTCGTGGCCCCATAGGGAGCTCAACCGAAGGTCCCAGTGGGTCCGCCCGCATGCGTGCGCCACACGCAGTACAGCGGTTCGTGGCCCCATAGGGAGCTCCACCGAATGCCCCAGTTGGGACCGCCCGCATGCGCCCCCCCCCCCACCCATTACGGCACGCCCCACCACGCGTTGCGTGGCCCACCAAAATCGGCACCCACAACGAGCTCCTACTGTATGCAAGCGATCGCGCCCCCATATCCAGACCGCGAGGGCACGGATATAGACATGATCGTCGCTCGATGCTAGGCTCTGCTACAAGAGGGCCCGATATGGCCGACGAGGGGGGAATCGTGGGGTTTTGCCGCAAAGAGGGTCCCCAGTGACCCCACAACGAACTTACCCCCCCTTGCCAACCGCTGTCTAGTGATTTTGTCTTCTCATCACCTCGCGGTCACCGCCACTGCCGCCTCGGGTGAGCGTCGCTGGGAGACATTCCGCCGCCAAGTCTGGGCGGCGCGCCATGAGCTCGTGGAACTCGCGGCCTGGCGAAGGAGGGAGGAGGGGCAGGAGGGACACGAGGACGAAGAGCAGAAGATCCGAGTGTTCCCAGGATGCATCAACAGAGCTGTGCGTCAAGGGCAGAAAAAACGCCCCTACCCTGGTTTACGAGGCGCTGTGAGCTGAAACTCCTGTGCGCTGACAGGGTAAACCCTGCGTGTTGTGCCGCGTCCTGGCGGCTCTAGGCTTTGGGGTTCCCCAGGAGGTTTACAGACCACGCACTTGTAACCCAGGGTAGGGCCGTTTTTTCATCCCTCAGAGCTGAAGGTCGCCCTCCCCGCCCCAGGTCCCTCCTCCGAAGTCCCTAGGCGGTAGGTTCGCGCCGGCTCGACCGGCGGCGACCCCGCCGCGGGCGTCTTCAAGGTCGAACGCCGCCGGTGGCCCAGAATCGGCCTCAAAGGGAACGCTCGGGCGATCGGAACGCCGCCGATCGTTCACTTGGCATCGCTCGGACGTGTGCATTGTTCCTTCGGCGAGGACCGTCGAGGAGCATCCTTGATAGTTTGGCGAAAAAGCCACGAACGAGCCCGAAAAAAGCGCACGGAATGGACGTCCGAGCGATGGCCAGAGGTTGAACCGATCTACGCGGTGTCAGAAATCAACGCCAGGGTCGTCCCGACACGCACCTGCCGTGCAGGCACTGCCTCTTGCACTGCGGGAAGGCCTCCTTGAAGGGTGAGCGCCCCGTGGCCCCGCCGTTCGGACGAGGGCCTCGAGGATACCTCGGGCCCCCTCTGGGGCCGCCTTGCTCTCTTGGGCCGCCTCGGGGCCGTCTTGCGCCGTCCAAGGGGACACGTTGGCCGTCGTGGGCCTGGTTGGGAGGAGCACGAGGAGACGGACGAGTGGCTGGAAAGGGGAGAAGAGCATCGGAATTCGTCCTTCCCTACTCTCCCTCTCCCTTCCCGGTTCTCTCCCTCCCTCGATTCGCCCTAGCTTCCTCCTCTTCCTCCTCCCCCTCCTCCTCCTCCTCTTCCTCCTCTTCCTCCTCCTCTCCCTCCCCCCGACCTCGCAACACGCGAGGGGCGTCGCGGTGTCGTAGACACCAGCTGCACGCGTTCGACAAGCGGGGCCGGCGCGGCGCGCTCACTGCGCAAAAGAAAGATCACGATGTGCCGCCGCGAGGAGGAGATCAGGGGCGGACTAACCGAGCTCTGGCGAGCCATCCTCTTCCGTGACGTTTTTCTCGCTTCGCCCCAAGACGTATTTATCGGTTGGCGGGAAGATTGAAAGGCGAGGGTGACATCACGGAAGGGGATGGTTTGCTATGGGGAGGTTTGGTCGCGGAGGAGGGTGTGGCGGAGCAGGAGGATGTTCCTTTCCCGGTCCGTTGTTTGTGGGTGTTGGGGGGAAGGGGGTCGACATGTGTATAGATATACATTCATGCATACATACATGTACGCATAATTACAGCATCTATATATGTATAGGTGTACGCGCGCCTATATGTGCGTATGTATGTATGTATGTACGTAGTTCGTGTTGGTACATTAAAAAACGTGAACACCATTCATTAATTTACCTTACATTATGGTTGTTGCCATCGTCGATCATTGCCACTCCTATGTTCCCCTTGTGCTGGGTATTGCGCAGGGCCCTGCCTGTCCCCGCTGACACTGGGAGTGCCCGGTGGTATGT